GCACTGGCACACTGAGAAAAAGAGGCTCCAAATGACAGAATCACGGGCATGTATAAAAATTCATTCCAATAGCACGTAAAGAACTTTTGAACTTGGATATACGAGCTGTAGTATATCGCGTACTGGTCAAAAAGAATGATTCCTTGTTTCAAGCTCGCCAGAGAAAGCGCACATTGGAGAAAAAGCCCCACCAGACCTGTGTTTGTAGACATTTAGTTTCGGTACACGACAGCGGAGCCTCGTAATTGCGACTTCTAGTTTACGTGTTTCACAAAATGATCGGCGCCACCCCATCATCTGAAACTTTTCTCTTTTTTTTTTCTCAACGAAATGTCCCTCACTTGCATGAAATAATTAAAGTTGTTCATGATTCCTTGTGCACTTTTTTAGTTCAAGCATTGTTTATACAGACACGCATTTGCATAGCATGGTCTTGACAGCGAATTATTTGAACAAGCGAAGTAATGATTCGAATTGATAGTAGTTCTGAATTACACCATTCGTATTGGGCGCCAACTTAATTGCGCCCCTTCGCCCCGCCGCGGTATATAGTCTAGTGGCTAAGGTACTCGGCTGCTGACCCGCAGGTCGCAGGATCGAATCCCGGCTGCGGCGGCTGCATTTCCTATATGGAGGCGGAAATGTTGTAGGCCCGTGTGCTCAGATTTGGGTGCACGTTAAAGAACCCCAGGTGGTCGAAATTTCCGGGGCCCTTTACTACGGCGTCTCTCATAATCATATGGTGGTTTTTGAACGTTAAACCCCACATATTAATCAAATGCGCCCCTTCGTTCAGAAGTTTGAACAGTAACACTCTCGACTGCGTACTGTTTCCTTTGGTAGTAAACACGGGGCTCGCACTCGTAGTATGCATGTTCGTCAGATAATCCTTGCTCACTGATCTGAGCCAACGCAGCGCTGCGCTTGTTCAGTGGGAGAGGAACCAATCAAAGCGGCCGTCGCACTTTTTGCCGATACGGACGATATTGGTAAGTCAGCACTGCTAGGTATATATCGCGCCTAACATCGAGACGAAGCGCAGCTAAGCGCGAGTGTTTAGTGTCAGTGCACGGGCGATCGTGCGCACTTCACAGGGCAACGCAACGAAGCATCACCCGCCACCCACACAGAGTATACTAAATATTCAGAAAACCAGCGATCGCGGTTAATAAATGACAGTAGTAAAAAAGTAAAAGAAACGAGCAACGGTATCCATTCAAGCGCAAAAGGTTGTCATCAAAGTGTCGAGATTTATTTGAAAATGAAATGAATATATAGACATATGCTAAATTTCTCTCGTTTTCCTTTATTCCAGATAAACTCAAAAATTACCTCAATTTGGGAAGTTGGCAGCGCTGCAGCAAATGTCGATTGTCGACCTTCCAAGAAGGCGCGATGCAAGGTTGGCGTGCATATAACGTCGTCACAGATCGCTAAAAGCACAGATTCCAATTTTTTCTTGAAGATTAAAAGAAGTTTCACGTGTGACACTTACAACTGCATCTATTTACTCGAATGTTCCATCTGCAGATCAGAATACATTGGACAAACCAAAACGCCCTTCAAATGCCGATTTAACAGCCACAAGAGTCATGCTACCAGTATTTCTAACCCTTCGACATCAAACACGTCGGGCCACTTGTTTAAACAGCTACCATCCTTGAATCTGGTTTCCGTTCCCACCACGAAAGAGAGCTTCAAGAATCATATATAATCCACAAATTTAAAACTCTTACTTGTGAATGAAAGTGCTGGCAAACTTTCCTTTCTGCCCTCTTGATCTTACCCACCGTTCTTGTTGCAACTATTTCGCGCAGGTAAGTTGTCGTATCATGACAGGATGTCGCGCACTAACTGATTTTAACCGATAATCTGCTCACAATTGAGCCTATGACTAGTTATTGTTTATGCCGATGACACATGCATGTATTGCTGTTTCATTATTTTACTCCGCTTTCTGGTGTAAGTGCGCATGCGCGGACTCTTGTCCTGTCACGCGTATTGTTTCTCCACGTGCATCTAACAATCTCTTCTCAGCCAGTAACAGCATGCTATTCTATGCATCATTTGTTGTCTCATAATACGCTATACATGTGTGCATCACTCCGACGAAGGCTGGTCCTGCGCGGCCCAAACGTCAGTTGTTTTTTCCGGAAACTTTTTTTTCTATTAGTTTAGTTATTTATTCCTTCTAGCCGACACCTAGGCGGGAGCCCAGCCCATTAACACGCCGGAAATAAAGTTTATTCCTTCCCTTCCTATTCACAAACACTGCAGGCCCTACTCAGGTCCAAGCATATGATATATATATATATATATATATATATATGAGCTCTAACAGACAATAATGCCATGAAAAGTATAAGGGGAATTATTAGACCAACCAAATTGTAATGTTAAGATAGAAAGGTGGGTGAAAAGATAACTTGCCGTGGGCAGGAACCAAACCTGCGTTATTCGGAGGTCGCAGGTTCCTGCGACCTATTGTTTGTTAGATCTCGTTAATATTGTGTCAAAAGACGGAAAAACAAGCCCATAAAAGCCCATAAGTATACACTGCTTTTCATATATATATATATATATATATATATATATATATATATATATATATATATATATATATATATATATATATATATATAATGTGAAAACAACGTGCTTGATCATACAATGGTCTATAACCCTGTGTAATGGGTGAATTTCTTTGACAATGTAGAGTAGGCAAAATTAGGGCAAATTCGACCGGTTATTTCCGAAGGACGCTAGAGTTACCGCTACACAGTCTTAAAGCAATGTGACCACAGTAAACATTCGAACGCGAACGCAGAGTTATAGCTTGCCTTCGAGTGCGGTCGAATATTGTTTTATGAACGAAGCTCCTTAAACCGTGGTTCGGGCGTCCTCGATGTATGTAGTTGTAGGTAGTCACCTCCACGGCCACCTGGATCGGGCGCGCGCGGCGGTGTTGCCACCTCTCGTTTAGTTCTTGGAATGTCCGCTAGATGGCGATACTTTTAGATGATGAATCTATCGAACTTTTAAGCAGGAAATTGCCAAGGAAAGGATCTATGATAATACTCGGGGTAGTTTTCTACTGTTTGAGGCCAGGACGGGAGTACTGCGAACCAAGACACATCGGGCCAAATACGAAGGGGTAGACAGAGTATGCAGTTCGTGTGGAGAAGAAGAAACTGCAGAACACTTGATAATGTTCTGTAAAGGGCTTCACCCTATAGTTCAGGATGATGGCGCAGAGTTTTTCAAAGCACTGGGGTTTAGGGACAGGGAGGGCAAAATAGACTTTAAGCAAGTAGACTTAACTAGAAGAAGGTTATCTGATTGGTGGCTTAAGTCAAGGCACGAGTGAAAATTAAACTCTTCACTGCAAAGTACGAATCCTCAAACTCACTTTTTAAAGAAAAAAAATAAATATAATTTTTGGTTCACTAAGTATTACGGCTTGGTGGCGCTAGCCACCGCCCGATCTAAAGGGTACAGCCATATCCACCCACCCACCCACCCACCCACCCACCCATCCATCCATCCATCCATCCATCCATCCATCCATCCATCCATCCATCCATCCATCCATCCATCCATCCATCCATCCATCCAATATATGATGAAAAGATGCGAGATAGCAGTACTTGGAGTGTTCACAAATTGGACGGACAGACAGACAGACAGACAGACAGACAGACAGACAGACAGACAGACAGACAGACAGACAGACAGACAGACAGACAGACAGACAGACAGACAGACAGACAGACAGACAGGCGCGGCCAGCGGACGGACGATTCACGATTTACCGATAAAACCCTCCGAAGCTTCGCCCCACTCATCATCATTAACTCCGTAGATACGCTATTTTTTTTTTTTTTCATGCCACCGTCGTACGCTGGCGCGTAAGAACTTTTTGATACCACGTGACAGCTGTGAAGTAAGTCGCCGCCGAGATAGCCTGCATCTACAACTAGTTGCGCTAAACGCGATGTCCAATCGCTGAATGTTAGACATACAAACAAAATGTTACTGCAGTGCCTATAAGAATGATACAGTTGAACATTGATTTCAGTCTGTAATGCTGTTATCAACACTATAGAATTGCGGTGTGGTATCTAATTCGCGATCTTGTGAAATCTGATTGGCCCAGGGTACTGTGACGGCCTCACTGATTGGCTTCCTGTGCCATCATTACGAAGTGTAGCGATAAGGTGGAACTTGACGGTGTCCAGAATGTCGTTCCCGTTCTGTTATAGATTTCAAAAACCGCACAATTTGAAAAACATCCACTGAAAATTTCGGGGGTACCTTCACACCTCGGTTCTCGAAGAACCGCAAGCCACACCAGCGAGGTAAAATAAATAAAAACAGCTATTCCCTCGAGTGTCCATTCACTCGTAAGGCTTTCGGAAAGCAGAGAGGGGAAAAAAAAAGAACAGTCAAGCGAATAAAACGTGCTGTCCATTCAAGAGGAAAAGCGTAATCGACAAATCGTGCGCGCGAGATCACGACGTCTGGAGGCGTCGATCGAAGAGGGGGGAAATGTATGTACCGCATGGTGCGCGCTTTTTTGAACCAAAACACTGCTTGCATTCAGGAGTGTTGCGTGTCGGAAAGAGCGCGCAACAGACTCGTTTTCTTGTCCGGCAGATTCTTCAGGTTGGCCGACAGGGCAATTTCCTATTTTGAGCATTCTCGTCTCTTCTGGCCGCACGCAGTTCACAAGCGAAATTGGTCGGCGAGGGCTGCTCCTCCTGCGTGGCTGGTTTGTTCTCCTCGCGTGTAGCGTTGATTGCGGTGGCGGCGAGGGGACGGCGGCGCGTTTGCGCATTTTCGCGTACTGCACTGGCGTCGTTGAAGCGGGGGTGGCTTTTCTCTACTCGATGAAAGAAAAAAAGAAAAATGTCCAGGGGGGGGGGGGGTCTTTGGCGGGTGAGGAGGGCGTATAAGAGGCGAGTGGACGTAGGAGGAGCCCATTTCACACTGAACCAGTGCGCTGCTCGGACCTTCCGCTGTGATGATGGGATTGCCAGTACAGGTGAGCCGTGCATGGCCCTCGACGTGTAAGTCGTTACCTCGAAACAGGCGCTAAGTGAGAAAATCGAGTGCGACTTGGAGGAAAAAAAAAAGTCCTCTGAACTTTCAATCACTGCTAAAATTGAATCAAGTCTCATCGCAGCCCATTCAGTGAAAATGAAATTCCATTTGCTCTTGTGCATCCATAAGAGTTTTGGAACCTCCTCCCGCACGTAACATTTATGACACTTGTACTTTTATCAATTCAAAGGGTCGATCAACTCCGGAAATTCGAAATCAATGAAAAGTCCGATCTGTATTCGCGGCGCAGCTTTAAATGCTCAAGTGCAAGCACAAATCATTTGAGGTGGCCCCATTAGTCCTCAAGGAAAGGCACTCAGCACAAAACTGCGCAGTTGTCCAATACATCAACACGAGTATCTGGAGCGTGTTCTTTCAAACAACTGTTTCCGTCACTTGTACGTGCAGATGACAACAATTGCCATGCCATAATTTCGTTGTCACAGCTTACATTTCGCATACATTTTGTTCCTTACTTTTGCTTTTTAAAACGCGTTGTTCTTGCGGCCTAAACACGCGCACAGTTTTCCTTTCACTGCAAAACGGCGATAAACTAAGGTAAACCAGCAGCTTCATGCATGAATAATTAATGCCAAACAAAAAGTTGGAAAATTGCGTTGTTCAATAACGAAGACAAAAAGTCGATTGGTTCAGATATCTCAGCTGAAAGTAAATCTGGAATAGTCACTGAAGCCATAATTTAATACTGTCGTACCCGAGTTCCTATAGTAGATAAACCAGAGTCACTGAGCCAGGCCGGGAACCAACGCAGAACAACAATTTTGCAGACAATTAAAGTATATATATATATATATATATATATATTATACTAAGACGCCTGTGACGTAACTCAATATAGTAGAGTGGATGATGTTTAACACGTGTTGGCACTGCACTTCTTATCACTAATCTCTTAATTTTAAAGATTGGGTCTTCGCAAGGGTCTTCGTGGTCGGGTTCGTAAGACTGGAGGAGTTTGGGAAGCCGCCACAAGTGGAAGAGATGTCGGTGGCGTTGCAGAAGGAACGCGAACAGCGTCCTCCCATGCTGGAGGGCTTGGCCACTCCTCCCGTATAGTGACGCTTGCTGCTCCGCACTGTCACGGCAGGGTGGTACTGATTCAAAAGTGTCTGCCTTTGGAGCTCCGAGAGACACCCGCGGAGGAATCTGGTCCAAGAGACGCCGGGTCGGCCCACTTGGTGTGCCAACTGTCACGAGGCTCGAACCTTCGGTATCTTTGATGATGCCTTGCCACCCCCTCCTCCCGTGTCCCAAGTTGCACACCCACACCGGACTCCAGGCTGGAATCTAGAATTCTGTGACTGACTCCGAGATAAAGATGGCACACAATTTTCCAAGCGTGGACGAACCTGATAATTAAGTAGTAGTTCCGGAGACTTTCCGTACGGTAGGGGCGTGTGTCGGTAGCCTAACAATACTCGTGCTAGCTTAGCTTCGAGGTCGTTTATCATCGAATTTTTAACCAGGCTGTCATTGATAGTGCGAACTGCGCGTTCCGCAAGGCCATTAGATTGTGGGTGGTATGGGGCACTCCGCAGATGCGTTATGTTGTTGTCTGTCATGAACTGGCAAACTGCTGACTTGCAGACAGGGGCTCGTTATCAGACACTACAGTTTGCAGCAAGCAAAAATGCGTGAATGATTTGGGAAGCCATGTAATTATGACTTCAGTGGTTGTTGACCTGACCGGGAGGGCCTCGATCCACTTCATGTGCGAGTCGACGACTATTATTGAGCATCATGCGCCCTTCTATCGGGCCGGCGTAATCAATATGAAGCCACTTCATCCCTGTTTCTGGCCAACTGATAGGCTCCTAACGATGTGGCATTGCTTGAGCTTGTACACATGGCATGCGTCAATGAGCGAGGCAATCCAACCCTGACCACAAAAACAACGTCCGAGCCAGTCTTTTCATCACCGATGCTCCCTGCATGGTGCGACCGGTGTAGCTCAGACAGCATGGGCCCCGCGCCGGGCATTATAACTCGATGACCCAGTAGAGCAGACCTCCTGCGCTCGACAGTTCCAGCCTTCTTCGAAAATGAAGTTGGAGATGACTGTGACATGATGAGAGGCATTTAGGCCATCCATTAAGTATGAAGTTTTGGACAACACTAAGGTCTTTGTCCGCACTGGTCACCCGCTGGCCCGTATGAACTGCCAAGATGCTCTGTGGACAGCACGTAATCTGGCAAGGTTTCCGAGTGAACAACCTCTGGTTTCGGCACTTGCAAACGGCTAAATGCGTCTGCCTTGGTGTTTTGCTTCCCGGCCTTGTATTCGATGCGGCACCGAGGAACAGGGCGGGCCGATGCCATTAAAAGCACCGGTCGATCTTCTCGTATACCAGACCCACAACTGGTAGGTGGTACGTGACCATCACAAACTCGCGGCCCAACAGGTAGTCTCAAAGCGTCGAGACTCTGAACACCAGCGCCAGAGCTTCCTTCTCGAGCTGCGAATAATTTTTTTTCGGCGCGCGTCAGTGTGCATGAACGAAAAGCGATGGGCTTATCGATGTTGCCCATGTGGAGCGAAATGACGGAACCTAAACATCGCATTTCGACCGCACTGGTTGGTCGAGCTGAAGATATGTCATCATGCTGATGAGCGTCGAGGGGGCCAAGATCGCCGGCATGGAACCGGTGTGAGCAGAGAAAAGCACGAGAGCAGTTCGCTTGCATTTGTAGACCGGGGTGAATCGCGTATTGCTGAGAGGTTCTTTTCCAATGGGTGCAAGCGGTCTTTGTCGATCCGGTGCCCCGCGATTGTGCCTTTATGGAAGTGACATTTTGCTTCCTTCAGCTTGCCTGCAGCCGATGCAAAACATCCCGTGTGACAGAGTCGTTACCGTCTTGACGCTCGGCTATGCAGTACACCGTCTAAGTGCGGCGGGAAGGACAGCACGGACATTCTCATGCGCCGCTGAAAAATCACGGGAGCCCATAAGTAACTCCAAGAGAAGGACGGTTATAGCATAACAGCCTGTTTATGACGGCCAGCTTCTTCGTTTCCTCATCCAAGGGGAGCTGGTTATACGCGTTCTTCAGATCCAACGAAAAGAGATCCCTCACGAAGTGATGCGAAAATATCCTCGATGTTAGGTATAGTGGATACTGTTCAGTTACGCAGGCATTATTAATTGTGGTTTTCAAATCACTGCAGGTGCGGAGGAACCCATCTTTCTTCAGTACCAGCACTATTGGTGCCACTTACTCTGAATGTGATATAGGCGATATTTTGACTTCACATGAAGAGCGTACGGGATAGGCCGTGCCTTGTGGAACTTAGGGTGGGCGTCTTCTCGTAGGTGTAATTTGACCAGAAACCCCTGAATTCTTCCAAGCCCAGATTCAAAAAGTGCATGAAACTCTGTGCAGAGGCTGTGGCGATACTGAATTCATTTGAACGCTTCCGGGGGAATCACTCGAAAGTATATTGACGAAGCTTGCATTAAATCCTTTGCGCAATGGTTAGGACTAGAAAAACCTATAACGATCAGAGTGGCAGGAGCAGCTTTGCCTGAAAACTGGGCTTGAAGCTTCAGTTCACCGATAATGGGAAGCTTGACCAGGTAGCAGCTGAGAGTCAGCATTTCGATAAGCGCGGCCAGCTCAGGCGATGCTTCAGATACACTTCTTTTGGTATTACTGAAAATGGTGATCCCCTATTAATGATGATATTCCCTCTTATTTTTTTTTCTCGTGTTCTTTGCTATCTATCTTTCTGTCGTTCTTCCTGTCTCATTTTTCGCGCAAAATATTATAAACGTAAAAACATGTACCCTCATTCCCGGCTCTGGCTGAAACAGTCGAAATGAGCACTTCCACTGTTCTCACGGAGGATGTACTCTATCAGCGCCCCGCCACGGTGGTCTAGTGGCTAATGTACTCGGCTGCTGACCCGCAGGTCGCGGGAGCGAATCCCGGCTGCGGCGGCTGCATTTCCGATGGAGCCGGAAATGTTGTAGGCCCGTGTGCTCAGTTTTGGGTGCACGTTAAAGAACCCCAGGTGGTCGAAATTTCCGGAGCCCTCCACTACGGCGTCTCTCATAATCATATATGGTGGTTTTGGGACCTTAAACCCCACATATCAAATCAATGAGGTAGGTTTCCTTGTAAGCATGCGCCTAAACGAGATATGTTCGCGGGGGTTATCGATATCAAGTTTGACAAATAAAAACACGGTCACTCACATGCAACATAGATTCATGCACGCATAATGGTTACTCGTGGCGGTAAAGTCATATTGCAAACAGTGAGATAGATTACATACAGTTGATAAGGGATTACACAGTAGTGATGTGGCAGTAATATTAGATTGCACGTCACATTGAGGCAAAAAGGGGCGGGGGGAGATGACGTAACATATACACTTCACATAACTTTTTGTAGTAACGTAGTCACATGCTCGCATTATACTACAAAGAGTTTGAGATCGCAAACAGTAAATCGGTGCACACCGCTAAGATTTTAGCTTCAGATCAATTATTCTTGTTCTTTTTAGCTTCCCCTTGACAAGGATGTTAAGGTTAATACAGCAAGACGCTCAAAAAGAAGTCGGAAAAAGGATCGGAAATACAGAGCACAGACACTGATCATGATACAATGCAGTACGTCAGCATGTAGTCTGGTACAATGGATATGGCAGGTGATGGGAGATTATCAAAGTAAACTTATAGGAAATATGCGTGATATTAGAAACGAAGCTGCCTATATATCCTAAGGAAGACCAGATTGTGCTTAGTGGGAACGCTCGTAAGTGTGACTGTGCTTTCGTTAATACCAAATAAGACGGTGTTAAACTTGAAGATTAGGTAAGACTCAGGGGGCCTCCCGATCGTGATGCGAACGAAAGCATGACTCCAGCATAGTGGCCCGAATACTTTCAAAAGAATGTTCCGGTAACCGAATGTGTTT